AATTTATTTACAGCAGTAAAATATTTCACAAACATTCAATTATGCATGATTTTTCTTGGCAGCACAATGGTGTAGTGGGTGGTGTTGCCACTGTTACAGCTCCAAGGTCCATGTGGAGCTTCACATGTTAAACTGCCCCTAGGTGTGAATGTGTGTGTGTGTGTGTGTGTGTGTGTGTGTGTGTGTGTGTGTGTGTGTGTGCATGGTGCCCTTCAATGGACTGGCATAAAATCCAGGGTGTATTCCCACCTCTATTCCAATGAACCCAGGATACACTCTGGATCCACCACGAGTCTGACAAACATAAAGTGGTCACTGAAGATGAATAAATAAATGCATGTTTTCAGTCAAATTGAATTAACTTCAGAGCGTGGCACCTATTTGTTGGGGTCTGTTCAGCCCTGACTGCTTGGAGAATACCTAATGGCTACGTATATCTAGTGGGCACACGTAGAGTTTCCATTACAAAAACCACAACACGTGAAATGTACCAGACTACAAGACAGACTATCCAATGTTTTTTGCACGAAATTGATGATAGAAAGAAACCGTCTACTTTGTCACTAATAAGTATCTTCTCTCGGGTCTATCCCAGGCTCTTCTGAGAAGCACAGATAATTGAAAAAGAAAAGAGACTTGTGTCCATGCTAACAAGGTCACGACGCTAATCCCACTGCCCACCAAATTATAAAGCACTACTTGTGCAATCATCACATCTAGAATAATAATGGGATCATTCAATAACAGATTGAAAATGTACGGCTCGTTTACTTTTGGGCAAGGCCATGACAATAATGCATAGGCTTCAACTACACACTTTAATTCCCCACTTAGCAAGCGCTGTGATGTTATTAGAAATCTGTGATGCATCCAGAGGGTAATAATTATCAAACATTTACAATAATTCTCAGCGGAACACGATTAAAAACGAGCACGGAGGCCGCAATTGGAGGAAAATCCCAAGCTGGGTTTCCATGATTCCTTCCTGTTTTAATCCTCATTAAGTAAGAATTCAATTTCAGAAGGCATCCGCCCAATCGCCCCATTATCTCTTTTGGAGTCTCTGTTTCCTTTGATTAAGCTTTCATTTCATCTTCATTTGTATCTTTGACAAAACACAGCACACATTTTTTATGCTTGTGTGTGTGTGTGTGTGTGTGTGTGTATATATATATATGATGTATTATGTGTATTTGGGATTGACAGTGTATATAGAAGTGTCTATAGAATAACACTCACTTAAAGAATGATGAGTGTGATAGAGAGTATGATGAAGGGCAGTGTGGCTGTTGCTTCAAACACTGCACACTCTCACACCTTAAAAGCTCGAAGCTCAAAAAGTAGCACAATAATCTGTTTGTTTTATTGCCACCAACGCAACATCAGTCCGATTATGTGGTGTGACGCTACATTGACATGATGAGGAAGTTAGCTATGCTGTTATGCTGCATTCGCACCGCAACAAATTCTTGTCCAAATCATTATACAGTGACTGAGATATTCTACTACTACGATTTATCAATTGATAACTCAGAGGAAAGATTGACTCAGTCAATTACTCAACTCTTTATTTCACCGCCACTTTGCATTTGTCTGATCACCGTCCAATGTTTGAATCTATAAACACAAAATATAATGCAGACCTGGTGGGAAGATATGTCTCACCACTGTAGTTAGCATGCTGACCAAGCATAGTTAGCTTACTGTGTAAACAGTTCAGGATTTCGTGGAGTCTTTTGTGTTTGTTGTGGCCAAAAATGCTTGATTTTGCTACTGCTTTTTTGTTTGTTTGTTTGTTTGTTTGTTTGTTTTCATTTGTGCTGCGGAGTTTTTCTTTTGTGCTTTTTTTGTGGAAAAATGACTTGAATTGACGAAATTGCAATTCTTTCACAGTGATGCTTGTTGCTAAATGAGACCTTTTAGCTGGACTCGTTAGACGCATGTGAATCGAAGAGGGATCTGGCTGAATGCACATTCTGATGACATCATGCACGTCTTGGGCCAAATCTGCATAAAATCTGAGGTGAAAAATTTCAAGCTCCTTCGAATATCGCAGAGTTTGCCTGAATTTGTGTTCATTTCTGAGATAACAAGATCCTAGAGGGACCGTCTTACTGCGTTTCTTTCTAGAAGAACAGTTGAGTGTATTTATCCGGTAATAAATTTGACTAGTGACTAGTACAATTAGTCCTCCATACAAGGCAGGGGAATGTGCTTTTGCAAACAGCATCAGAATGAACTTTACGCTGATACCACTACAGTTTTTCAGGTCACGTGATCAGAACACATACAGAGAATATACCTGTGCTAGGAACTCAATAACTAAAACTCCCAGAAGCATCACTTCTCTGACTTTTCTTGCTAAAAGTTACTGTCAGGAGATCGTGCGTTCGATTCCTGGTGGTGCTACAGCTGTCCGTGACCAGGAGTCTAGAAAGCAAAATTGTCTGCACTCTCTGGGTGAGAGGGATGGTGTTACTCTCACCCTTGTCAATCACAATAACACTTAGACAATCATGGGTCTCTGTGAGCTCGTGTATGCAGAAGAGGGCAGATAACGAGGTTGGATTGCTATGTCTCGAAGGAAACACTTTCATCCCCTTCCGTAGTTGGTATCTGTTTTGTGATAGAGGAGAGCTAGCAGGTAGGTGGGATTTGACCAAATGGGGAAGAAAATGATGGAAAGTCATACAAAAAAAAACGTGTATGTTTTACTATTCATTAGTCAGTACGTGAAAGAAAAACGAGACTGCTTCCTGGAGTACCATTATGTCGAATAAAAAGTGCAAAACCACTCTTCCCACAAAAAATAATGAAATCTTTACCAGCATGTCAATACAAATAGGATATACAGTACAGTATATTACCTGGGGCTATTTCTACTGGTCAGTTTACAGAGGGTAAAATACGACGTAATCTTTCCAGATATGGGAATGCACAGTCGGTAAAAATTACTCACATAACAGATTCAGGCAGGACTAAAATCCCAAGGGATACACTGATAATAACTACATTACTCCACCTCCACATGTCAAACTAATCCAGTCTGAATGCTTCACATTCAGGGAACTCATGCCTACTATCCGCCCTTGCGTTGTTCAGTTGCCTCAATGCTTTGCTTTGATCAATTTAAACAGTGCTCAACATTAGTGCGCCTCCCACATTGCCCCGCCTCCTGTCGCTGTAAATTGCAACTCTCTGAGATTTATTTATTTATTTATTTATTTATTTGTTTGTTTGTTTGTTTGTTTGTTTGTCAAGAAGTGCAACGTGTTCCTCTGTTTTTCATAACCTACTGAATGATGGGTGATTCTCGAAACATGTTCGCTTCAAGTAATATTCTAGCAGTTTTCAAATATTACATTGTTATGTGACATTCAATGTCATCCGATTATTAAACAGGAAGCTGGAGGCAGATACTAGGACCATGCCATGGCTTTATCGTATTGTTACGCACCTGTTCTTGCAATATTAATTTGACATCGCACAGCTGAGAAATGAGCTCCAGCTAAACAGTCATCTTTTTTTAGTAACTTTCATTTCCCGATTTCATTCATCAAACCGGACAGTTCATGATTAATAGATATTTCATGTAAGAGCATATATGTATTTCCCCATCACTCCCAGGTGTTTGACACACAAGAGGGCACATTGTGCTGGTTTAACCCTTTCCTGTCCAGTTCAGGTCAAAATGACCTATTTTAAACAAAATGAGTTGAAGTACTAAGAATGATAGCTAGCTCAGGCCTAGCTCGGGTCCTCTAATAAAGGACGAAAATGTCAAAAGGAATAATCAGTGACGTCTCTTCGCTTCTGTTTTGGAAAAAGACGACAATTTGAGGAGTTTTATCTCATCACTTCCTTTTTCAGCCCTGCTATAATGTTCATTAAGCTACAGATTGTTGTTTTTAGATTTCATAGCAAATCCTTCTGTAAAATTATCTCAAAAATCTTTAGTATCATCTAATCTTCATCTAGATTCTAATTTAAATTTTTAGATTCCATTTTAGGAACATTTTATGAGAAATGAAATATCCGCTACAAAATGTGTATTCTGCTGCCGGTGGTTTACTTCCATTAATCTTAATGCTTTAAGTAATAAGATAAAACTGCTTTTGTTTATGTTTTGCATTATTTAAAAAATGCACTTTCTCCAAAAATTGTATGCAAACAGTGTACTGATATGGGTGACAGGAATGTCTACAGAGTTTATATGTCTTTATCATTCTCCTCTGACAATTAATCTTAATTTTTCAGACAGAAGAGCAGAAATGAAGCACACATGACATTACATGACACTCCAATGTTAATGCGATGTTCTCAAACAGACATCTCTACGACTGTCCTGCCTTTCCTTCAGCTTTTTTAATTATGCATACTTATTTGCACTGTCAAAAAAGAATCCATTCTAGGGTTTTGTTTTTGTTATTGTTGTTGTTGTTGGGGTGAGGGAGGGGTGTCTTTGAAGTATCAACAAATCCACCAAATTCAAATGGCAAAATTTTACGGATAATTGCTTTTCCCACTGCAAAAGTGCTACAAACATTTTCCCATAAAGTGATACACTGTGGACAGATGGGAGTGTAAATAAGAGATGGAGGTAGATTGAGGGACAAACATCCCAATCGCTTGTGATACTAATAGGAAAATAAACAGCTGCCAAGTTCATTGCGTCCTTATATAAGAGCGTTTAGAGGGAGAAAACGATAACAAGAAAAGCCAATAAGAAGACGAATGCTGGCAACGAGCCCTGTTAGAACGAACTGGAGCCAAGGACTATTCGGATGTAATGTTGCGTCTCTTTTTTAGGCTTCTACTCACACATTTCTGTGGTGTACCAGCCACTTTTAGCATCAGTACTGTGTTCGCTGGTAGTGTACAAGACAGTGACGTGATGTTGGAATCGCCAAATATTGAAAAACGTATTAACTGAGAATATTTTATACTGCACACACAAATTAGGAGCAAAATGTTATAAGCGACCAATTTATACACTCGGGGACACGGTGACTTAGTGTTTAGAATGTTTGCCTCGCACCTCCGGGGTTGGGGGTTCGAATCCCACCTTTGCCCTCTGTGCATGGTGTTTGAATGTTCTCCCCATGATTTGGGTGTTTCCTCTGGGGGTTTCCTCCCTGCAGTCCAAAGACATGTGTTGTAGTCTTACTGGCATTTCCAAACTGTCTGTAGTGTGTGAATGTGCCCTGAGTCTCCTGGGATTCCTTTGACCCTGTGTAGGATAAACAGTACAGAAAATGGACGGATGGAGATAAAACACTCCAATTGGTTCATCCATTTCTAGTTGGATGGAAGCATCTAAGTTTTGTGACACATGCACATGCTTTTCAAAATCCCAACCCCTGCTACACTATGCACATGAACCAAGGCTGCGGTTTGGATGTCAGTAGGAACTATTTTGATTAGACGTATTAATTGGCTTGCATGGCGGCTAGACAATCATTCTAGAATCAGGGACATGAACAGGTATGAAAATGGTGACTAAACTGAGTAAAACAGAACAGTGCAGCACAAAAAAACTGGTATATCAATCTAATGCTAGCTTCACCTTGCATTTAAACACTTGAGAGAGCACCGCAGTTCATAGTCAAAATGTCAGCTCAAGGCTTGCCACCTTTTATCATAGGCACAAACAATATGCTTCGTGACCAGTGACAATATCAGCAGAGGGTAAAGACTGGCTACATAAAGTCACCCCTGTCAGGGATTGTAGCTGTAGCACAAAGTAGGCAGGAGTAACAATAATTCAATTAAGGGGCAGATGATTCAGTTGGAATGTACATACCCTTGGCAGCCAGAACAATATAGCTGATCTAATTTCCTGTACAGTCTATTTCATTCGAACTTCATACAGTCTAGTTCAGGTGGACTAATTTCTTAGATTGTTAAGAAACATTTTTAACTTTCATGTAGGAAAGGAGAAGGAGGAGGAGCGGAAAAAACTAAATAAATCCAAATACAGATTGGGTTCCACCTTGCAGCACCTGAATCAGCAGGTAGATCTTTTGCTCAGGTTTTTCACATACTGTCTATGTGGTGTTTTGTATGATTTCCCCCAGTCCACATGGGTTTTCGTCAGGTTTTCCAGTGTCCTCCCACCTCTCAAAACCACTGCATTAGGTTGGTACTGGAAACTGCCCCTTGGTGTCCCCTCAAGGGTGTATTCCTGCCTTGTGTTACTGGATGCACCTCAATAATGTGGTTACTGAAGATGAATGAGTTTTGAAATGGAGATGAGTTTTGAAATTTTGTATGTGTTTATACTTCTAAACAGCTTTATCCAATATTTTGAAAATGAAACTGCATCAGATTACAGGAAAGCCTTCAAGGTAAGTTATGTGAGCTTCTGCTACAGTTATGACAACCCAATCCCACTAACACTAAATAAGCTGATAAAGTCATGGAACAGCCTTCAAGATGGCCGAAGGCAAATATAGAAGGCTAGAAACAGTTACCCGAAAACTCAAGTGAAAAAGCCATGTGTAGCATGCCTGATTTACACACCTGTACCTTCTCAACAACTATAAAGAGATGGCTTCTGAACTGTAGGTTTCACATAGCAACTAATTACACGAAACCAGAAATGCGAGAACAGCAAAAAGAGGCGGTTTGTGAGGACTCCCAAACAGAGAGTGAAGGAAAAGCTTCCAGTAAGTCCTCACGGACTTCTTCCAGACCATTGGAAAATTAATAATCTCACGAGGGTGCACGGTGGCTTAGTGCTTAGCACGTTCACCTCACACCTCCGGGGTTCGATTCCCGCCAGGGCCGTGTGTGCGGAGTTTGCATGTTCTTCCCGTGCTGCGTAGTGTATGAATGGGTGTGTGAGTGTGTATGTGATTGTGCCCTGTGATGGACTGGCACCCTGACCAGAGTGTACCCCGCCTTGTGCCTGATGTTCCCTGGGATACGCTCCAGGTTCCCCCGCGATCCCTGAAGAAGGAGTAAGATGGATGGATGGTTTCTCATGAATCTGCTGAGACGCACCAAGAGTGTGTAAAGCTTCATCAACAACACTCAAAAATGTAATTGCATTCCTTTAACTAATGGGTCCCTGCTTACATTTTGATGGTTTCAAATTGTGAATTCATTCAAGTGTAGTATAGTGAAGTATTTTTTTTTGTAATTATTTTGATGAGAAACAGCTGGTATAGTCAAAGAATACACATTCTGTTACACAGTGACAAATTATTCCATGCTCCCTAAACAGTTTCTTGGGTTTAGGAAATGTTGGCAACATGGTGACCCAAAATTTAATCCAAGTCCTCATAAAAGGGACAGGAATCCTTCATTTCAGCGGATACTCCACTACATTTTATATGTACTTCTGTTGTAGTTTTTTTACTTTTACCCAGCATTGTAGTGCTGTTCTGGTATAGCTTCTTTCCTTCATTTTTCGAGAAAACAAAAGAAACACTTTTATGTTCTTATGTGTTGAGGATAGTTGGCATTTAATGCAATACTCTTTCCAAATTTCAAGAAGTACACAGCACCCCTCCTGACATCCAACCCCACGACCTGACATGGTGAAAAATTTTATGTTTTTTCAGCAGTTAGAGAACATGACTGCAGGCATGGCAAGCCTCCAGATACACATGTCGAAACGAAACCCAAGGGTAACGGGACCTCTTCGCTTTCACGTATCACGAAGAAATCGAACCACGAACGGACCCACAAACCAATCGTACTCAGACCACCTCCGGAGGTTCATTTGTGGGTCCGTTTCACTTTTGGGTCCTTTTAGGCATGTCTGAGATCATTTGGTCTGTTCACATATGCATGCTGAACCGCTCCGAGAGCGTTTGGAGGGCTCAAATGAACTAGGCGTGAAAAAACTTTACGATTTTTATTACATGACAGTGACAATGCCTTCTGTTTCAATGGCGACAGTAAGCCCAAGTCTATACACAATTAAACACAAAACAAAATGGTACCAGGCTGAGGTTCAGCAGTTACTGTACTCAGTGTGCAAATGATTATAATGTCCATAGCATGGATCAGTAAATATGCAGGCAAAATACTTTGCATTGAGGCAAAGGAATAGGAGGCTAGATCTAGATAATCGAATCTAACTTACATGGAACAACTAAGTGAAACACGAAACAGCTGAACACATTAGGTCAGTAAACCAATGATAACATGGACCGAAACCAAACCAAAAGCACATAAACACAAAACAAGCACATGACATGAACTCAAAATGGAAGAACACATGAGGAGGAACTTGTCATGAGCTACGCACAGAGAAATGAGAAGTACCAATGCACCAAAGACAATTTAAAGACATAATATCTTCCCATCTGATGTACTTATCAACTGATACGGACCCTATTAGTACACCCTTTGTTATTCAGTATGTCAGAATCCCTATTATTTTCAGCCCATAGGAAATTATACCAGACAATATAGACCGATATTAGTGAAGAATGATGAAAACTGATGAAATAGTAATGGATTCTGACAGCCTGATGTGAGTGAAGGACATTGTGTTCTTTCCCTTTCTTCGAGAACATCCTTCAAGCTGTATTTTACCTGACTCAGGGATTTTTAATGGAATTGTATTGAAACACATAGACAGGGATTAAAAAATAAAAGACCAGCAGACAAGGTGATCCCACTTATCTTTTCCCATAATGCTTTCCTCGATTATCTGTAATGAACAGACAGGGTTCGTGCGGCCGTGCCCTGAGATAAGGATGTGCCCTTTGTGTGTGCGAATAGAATACTAAACACATGTCTAGAACAGAAAATACACAAAATCAGGCTTCCGATCTTCAACCCTCCTGGAGTTTACACTAATTAGAAGGGCACTTCTTTAGTGCTTATACCGATGTAACTGAAACATGCTTGGAGATTATGATAAAATCACATCAAGGCTGAGTACTGAACCATTCTTTTATTAATCTTAAGAATTCAAAAAATATAAAACCTCAAGTTAGATACACGTGGAAATCACATGGAGAGATACCATAATTGAAAACATTTCAACTGTGATAGCTCCACTTGTGCCATTTTATGAGACAGAGGCATACCAATAATTAATGTAAGCCCCTTTAATACTTATGTATTTACATTACTGCAATACTCAGGAATGTACTAGGTAGAATGTAGAATTTTAATGAGGTGACATGTGAACTGTATTGTGGATAATCTGCTGGTCTGTTAGTTTCCTTTTATCAACCTGGCCTGCACTAAATCGTTATCTAATACTCCTTGTCATCGATTACAACCATGCCCCTGAGTATGGCTTAGAGCTGTGATTGGACAGTGATGGGATTTCAGCGTGGCACTACTACAACGTACTGATGAAATTGGAGAATAGCCTTCACATCACACAAAGGTTAGGGTTTAATTCTTTTTATTAAAAAAAAAAAAAGATAAAGTGATGTAAGAGCAATGCAATGAAGGTTTTGCTTTTCACTATGGAATGTTTGTTCATGTGACTAATAAAAAGATTGTAAACAAGTATTGTAAAAGATTGTAAAAAGATTGTAAACTATTTTACTTTTTTTTGTTATTACTACTGTTCATGTTATTCTCCAGAATAAACAGATATGCCTACTGCACTATTTATGATATATAGCTCTTACTTACTGTAGATGCCCTAGGCTAAATGGACATTCAAGACATCATTCACATGACCAGGAAAACCATAGAAAAACAGAGGAACTTGAAAAGAAACCTACAATTGACACAGGCTACAATCCAAGCACACAGCCGAGCAGTTATGGGTTAAGGGTTCTCCTTAATGGCTCTCTGGTAGTCCTGGGATATAAACACACAACCTTCAAATCACTAGCTCAGAACCTAATTCAGGTCCTACTTTGCGTATGAGTGCACATGCCTTTGAATAACATTCATAATAGCAATATAAAATAAAATGTTGTTGTTGTTTTTTTACAGTTACATTTATATAGTGCTTTTCTAGACACTTTTCTAGAAAGTGCTTTACATAGTATGCTGGGGGGTAGGTATGTGTTGGGGGGGTCTCCTCAACCACCACTGATGTTATAGCATCCACCTAGATGATGCGACAGCAGCCATAGTGCACCAGA